CCGCCTGTGCCCGCTGCAGCTGCGTTTCTGCTCCTCTTGGACGCAGTTGTACCGCTGCTTGCTAAAATATGATTATTTTTTTTTACTGGATTTACCTTACCTGTTAAACATCCGAGGGGTGGCATTCCGGAGCCTGCCGAGTGCTCCGGGACGCCGCTGTCCCAGGGGCATCGTGTCCCTCGGCCCGTGCCGGCAGACGGGCTCCCGGGCGAAGTGCGTACCCGTGCGTTTCGGCAGGCTGCTCACCTTGGAACTGTGCCGTTCTCCCTCCGCGGTGACCTCGTTCCTTGCCACGTTTGACGGCCCCCCCATTTTGTGTCATCTTTGCAGACTTGGTCAGTACGCCGTGTTCTTTTTGTGAAAAAGGCGTTAATGAACTTATTAGGAAAAATCAATTCCAAGACCACTCCTCGAGTAACTGCCTCTCTTCCAGTATTTCTGCTCTTAATGTAATACATCACCTTCCATTTAGTCACTTTCTGTTACTGTGCCGTGCTTCACGCTCTCCCTCTCTGCTGGTTTCCCCATGTGACGCTATGCCATGAATGCTTTGGGAAGTCGGGTGCGTTTGCTTTCTCCTAGCAAAACACTTCTTTTCAAAGAAAGTTAATGAGCTAGGTTGACATGATTTACTTTGATAAAGTCACATTGCATTTTAGCCTGTATTTCATTCATTTCCAAGTCCTTGTGCTTTGACACTGTAGAAATATGGAGAATTCGGTTTAATCTTTTGTATCTTTGTATTCGTTGCTGCTGTTGTCTTTCTTACTTCAGCTCATAGGAGTGTTTACATTCTTTCTCAGGGACACAGGCATTAAAACAGAGTAGAAAGTACTCTTACAAAGTGATGAGACTGCTGCCAACCCGCAAGTCAGAGACAACGCTCACAGCAAATATCGCCCTGAAAACTCACTGGCGCAGCTTAAGGCATTGCTGTTCCTGGCTGCCTCTCCTGCCTCTTTATCAGTCACAACTACCCCAAAGCAGAGCTGCTATAAGAAGCTATTTCCAGCCCTTGCAATTCACATCTTCATGCCTTACTTTATAAAGGTGAGATTGAGATAATTTCTCAGACTGTGAGCTGTACAGTTGAGGCCTGGTCCCTTCCTACATTCTCTCATTCCTGGTATAAGGGTGAATAAACAGCTAAAGGCATCTTACATCGCTATAGCAAGCTCTGCTAGGGCTCGTTTGGCAGAACCTGCGTCTCGATAAATTAGTCTGCATGCTGGAAAGAATGCCAAGAGGATCCATTTTCATCACTCTGGGGATGTTAAACTGGAGTCCAAGCCCTCTCCTTTTCCTCAGGATTTTTTAAAGTTGGTGTTTTCATTAAAATACTATTTTTTTGTTATTTCAGTACTTATCTTTCATTAAAAAATTCACAACAGCGTCTTTGGTTAGTAGAAATCAGAAATACAATGTGCTGCTTTCTGCACAAGGAGCTATGTATTCATCAGGTGATAGCAAATCAAAACATTTTCACAAACATAATAGCTGTATTTAACGTTTGTAAAGACCGCTCTTTTCAAGAAAATGAACCATAACAATTAGGAGTATAAGGCTGAAAGAGCTACATTCCTCAGTTAATAATTAAATGAATGAATTTTAAATCTCTGTGAGAGGTTTAAATGAATTTTGGTAATGCCACCTGAATTTGGACCCACTGTGCATATAGTGTATACATTGTATATATGTGTATATACATAAAGACGCAGGCTTATATAACATGAACCCCTTTTTAATTTACTGATGACTTTATGTTGATGGCTGTGGTCATTCAAGGCCCAGGTTGAAAGGGGGTTTTACAGTGACAAAGACTAATTTTTATCATAGAGTCCTTCCAGACATAGAGCAGCTTCCATCTAACTGAGGGAGGAAGGGGGAGTTTGTGTAGCTGGTCCTCCATCGTGTCGCTCAAAGCATATGCAGTGGCAAGCTGTGCTAGCAGGAAATACAAGCCATCAAAACTGATCCTTGCTTTATCCCCAGGAGACAGTTTGCCCCACTTGTTGCAGAAACTTGTAGTGAAGGGTAGAGCAGTTTAGGAAGAGAAAGGAGGGTCTTATGCCCTGGGAGTACCATCCTAAACTATGGAGTCCCATATTTAACTATGTGGCTTTGTGAGGTTTGTAAGCTGCTATTCTGTTCCATTTCACCAGTATATGGCAAAAAATCACATTAAGCTGAACTGAATTAAATGACAGGATTCTGGGAAAAATGTAATATCCGAAGAGTGTTATAACTGTGCAGTTGAAGCCATACTACGTATTTATGTTATGGCACACTGCTTTTCGTAAAATCTCCATTTTGCTGGCCCACACAACGTTGAATGCTATATTCAAATGCATAGACTATATTAAAATGCATAGAGTTTTAAGGAGAAACCGAGACAAACCTTGTAAAATGGTACCTAATTATTATGTTAGCAAATGTGGGAAGTATTCTAGTTATTTAGCAGTATAGAATAAAAGTGCTATTTTTCTACTTTTATTGTTAAGAGCATGCTTTCAGTTGAGTTACGTAAGTACTTCAGATTTCTTAATCATCAGAGCAGCATAGCATTTGCACAAATAATGTAGTCATTCATTGTGGGTAATGTAGTGGTTATTACAGATGATTTCCCTTTGATGGAATAACAGTTTGGGACTTTTCAGACCAAAGGTGGTGGTGTTATTATGAAATCTGTTAAAAATGTTTTTCAAAATTTGTTTTGAATCATAGCCATTATTTATAATAAGCCTGTCAACTATACGTGTGAGAAAGAGAAACAAAGACCTGTAAGTTCTTATCTTGTTTTAATTTAGCCCTCTCTGAGGAACTGAAAAGCATATTTTAAATTCTGTTTCCTGAAAAGAAATAGTTCAACGTACCCGAGTATTGGCCCCCCAGGAGCACGTCAGAAGATTATCAAAACACAGTATGCTTTCATTACTATTTCTTTCATGGCCCTTCCTTGTCATGTAACGTTAAGATAATTGTAGGTAAATGAGTAATCAAAAGCATCTGTTGCCATGACAATCCGGGCAGCAGCGATTCTGCCTGAGTATGCAAACGAGCTGGGCAGCTTAAGGGGTAAATGGCTGATTATGTCATTTACAGGGGCAGCAGCAGAGAGCAGCAAATGTGAAAACTGTAGAGATGGTGACTTTCTGTTGCTGTTTCCCCAAAATGCTGCTTAAAAGAAAAAGCGCAAAACAGGACACAGGAACACACAGGACAGATTTGGAGATCATTGCTCATACATATTTTATATCACTGGTTAAGGTCATCTTCCGAATCATAAGTCAAATTCTCTTTATTGCATTTGGGTCCCCCAAAGTAAGGAGATTCCACCTTGAAATGGCTGTTCTCATTTGACCATCACTGATATCTTGTACTGTTACTGTCTCCCCCAACATAGTTTTACAATTAGCTTGCAATAATTTACAAAAAAGAGGAATTACGCAACACAACATTTAAAAATATAGGCTGAGAACACAAAAGCAGACATACTGGATCCAATCAAATATATCTAACTCAATATTTTGCCTCCAGCAGTTAGGATTAGGTGTTTGGAGGACGAGTATAACAAATAGGGAAACTAACAGTTGATCCTCTGGCTTTCTCTCCTAGCTGCTGGCACTTAATTGGATTAGGTTAGGGATTTCCTGAGCTGGAGGTTTAATCATGATGTTTAAAAGTCACAGATGGGCATTTGTCTATGAATTTGTCTAATTCCTTTTCTAACCTACTTACACTCTTTGCTTCCTGACATCCTATGGCAATTATTGCATAATTAATTTATGGAACTATGTGTAAAAAGTTGTTTGTTTTGCTTATTTTTAACTTGCTTCCTGAGAACTCAGGGAGTGCTTCCTACTCCCTGTATTCTGAGCAAGTAATCCATCTGTCTTCCCCTTTCTCCATGATGTCCATGACTATAGCTCTCCAACCATCCATCTCTGGCAAGCTGAAGAGTCCTAGTTTTATTTAAACTCGTGTAAAATGAATATCATTCTATGTTGCTGATCCTTCTTGTTGTTCTTTATAATTTTTGAAATTGTTCCATGTTCTTTTTTGAGACCGAATTACTAGGACTGTCAGCATTATTCAGCACATGGGTACAGCATATATAATTGCAAATGATGTTTTCTGTTTTGTTTTCACTTCTAGTAATTCCCAATGTTCTGCTTGCCTTTTTGAAAACTGCTGAGCACCATCCAGAATGATTTCAAAACCTCTTTCCTAAGTGGTAGCAATTCATTGTTCTGTTATATATCATTAGGATTACTTTCCTCCCAGAACATTATTTTGCATTTTTCAGCACCATCTGCTATTTTATTGTGTGAACACCAAGTACTAGGATAGTCTCTGATAATTTGAAATAAAATCATTCAGAGACTTTGTCACCTCTTTTCCCATGTCACTGATGACATTTGAAAAGCACAGGTCCCAACACAGATTCTCCTAAAAGCACACTGGTAACCTCTCTCCTTTGCGTAAACTGTCAGTCAGCTCTCTTTCTTTGCCTCCATCTACCTTTCAGCTACTTATTGATTCAGATTGGAGCCTGTCTTCTTACCCTATGAGAGATTAGTTTTGTAAAAGTGTTTAGTGTTTATAGTAAACACAAACAAATTTGTTGTAACAGCTTTCTCCAGACAGGCATGCAGTGCACCTGAAAAGAGCATGTAGAAGAATTTTACAAGGTCTTTTGCAAGGTAATGGCCATTTTTTTCTGTTTTCCAGCATACATCAATTAAAAATATTCATGTTTTCCTATTATGATCTTGATAATAAATAAGCTATGCTGTTCTTGTTTTGCACAATAGTATGCTCTTAAGTCTTTGCTTCATTATGTGCTTGTGGGCGGACAAATGCACATGCACACGCACACCATAAAATTTTCTGTTGAGATCCTTAACTAGCTAAAAAAAGCATTAGAGCTGCCACTGTGATTTGCAGATTTTAGCGCTAGAAGAGACCATCTTATCTGCCTTCTTACCTAATCCAGGCCTTGCTTTGTTCTTCCAACACATTTTTGCCCGTGACGTTGATTTAGTAATACTTCCTGCTGCATGTACCTGTCTCACATCCCTTTGCTGTAATACCGGCAACTGACATCTGCTGGAAAGTGCCACAGATTCTCCTTACTGTCTCCAAATGTGGAGAAGCAACAGTGCTGTGATTCAAGCAGGAGGATGCATGTGTGTCGTCTTACCCAGTCCCATCACCTGTCTGTGCAGGGGGCCTCCCGTGAGTCACTCCTCAACGTGGATTTGCTGTATTATGCAACCCACTACAGGGTTATGATTCAACATGAAGTAGTAAACCTACTTCAGCCTAGGCTAAAGCAAGTTTTAAAAATATATCCTCACATGATTTAAAGATTTCAAGTGATGGAAGATCAAATGTATTCCTAACTCCTGTAGACTTTCT